TAAATTTGAATTTTTCCAAGAGATGTAATATTACGCAAGTAATGTTTCCAAGTAATTAGGTATATCAACGCCGATAAATACGCGTTTTAATAAAAAATATAACATTGCGAAATGGAAAATTTTTGAAAAGATTTAAATTTTATCTAACAACGCTTTATAATATATTATAAAATCTTGTAAGGCCTAGATAAGGGTACCTAAACTCATTCAATCGAGAAAGATACTTGAAAAATATTAATATGTAATGATTCTAAAAGATTGGCTTCCAAATAATTAAAGTACCTACTTAAGATATTTTCTTTATTCTTTGTATATTTTGCTAATGTAAGACTTCTATACAGTTAACTATAACAATGAATGAATTAAATGCTTTATTCCCTAAAAATGTTTTATAGAGTCCTAAGAATAACATAAGTGATACATCGTTGGTTCGGAATAGTGACAAAATGCATGGCGTTACAGAAGGAAATTAAATATTTTTTCGATGACAACCTCAGAACTTTGTAAAAAGATTTACGGATTCCTTCATATTGCCAGACGGCATGTAAAACCTTGTCAATTATATGAATCCATAGGTAAGGAAGGCAATAATGTACATAGCTGGCAAACTAACCCGACAGAGAATTAAGTTCTGGCAACCTGAAATCAGATTGTACGAGTGCCATTGGTTAAAGGAAAAGAGCAATCCATAATTCACTACTGTAGAAAGAAAATACCTTGCTCGATGGAGAGCAACGTGCTAAGGGCGTAACTCATTAATTATTTATCTTATTTAAAGCATGCATAATTATTTAAAGCTTATTTAAAGCATATGGCAGGACGTCCCTGGGATCTCAACCTTCAGAACTGCTGAGGTTCTCGAATATTTATAAACTCTGGTAAATTCAATATCCACAGAACAGTGGACGATTGCAAGCCTGGTGTGGGTGATTACGAGGTTGCGTTAAGAGGTTTTGGAGCAACCGCTTAACACAGGTTGTGATGTAACCCCATTACAATTACATTACTGACGGATGATGCAGTGATAATATACACCCATCGCTCAATCGCTCCATTCCCGTTTAATTAGTAGACTTATTCCGCTGGAACGGGCGCAAGTAAATTAGAGCGCTTCCCGGCCTAAAGCATATAGATCCACATTAATTAGCACCGGCTCACGGTCGACGAAGCCGTGTCGCTGGGTATGTGGGTAAGCGCCGCCATGGTGTTCAATCCCGCTTCCCTGTAACACGAAAAACGTAACCGAGAAACTCGGGGGCAGGTTAGGCGGCGCTGGCAGGCTTCTCTCTCTCCGATCCGGCGTCGGCGTCGGCGTCGCTCTAACCGCCGCTGCGCCGGCCGTCTCTTTTGCCGGTCCGCAGTGTGACGTAAGAGCTCAATACGATTCGCGGCAGCGCAACTCTAACCGACCCGAAATTCGTTAGTGGGTCCGCGCCCGTGATATAGTGCGTTTGCTGTTGTGTGACTGTGTCCCGTTCCATGAAGAGTACCATTTAACAACCCCTGTTCTCCCTGGATTTTACTTTGTAGTCACTCAACATGGGGGAGGTATGTCGAGCGGCGGCTCACCGACCGATGTCGGTTTATGTCCGTTCATTTTAATATTCGTGCTGGTTTGGCTCTATATTGATTTACTGAACCAGTTTCCTTTACTAACGCTTCTTAGGGCAATACTAACCTTAATGGTGTATGATATAACCAGTCGGTTTCTGTATGGAATCTTATTAGATACTTATGAAGGCTTTATGTACATATTGAAATTGTGCAATTTTTGTAAATGTGATATCTTTTCAAGTAGGTAATAACCATTTTTGAAATCAATGCATATTTCTGTATCAGTTATTATCGATTGCAGTTCACACCATCAGTATCATCTTTAACATTTTCTCCCGGTTTAATGAAATCTTCTAATACTATTCTTCGTGTCTTATTTTAATTGAAATGAAATTTACTGAGTAATAAAATAAAGCAAAAAGTAAAAAAAATCCAAAACTAACTACATTTTACCAATATATGTACTTCATCATCCGGTGAACTGTTTGAATTGTGATCAAGCAACTGAATTGAATTTTGTATTGGATAATGTAATTTTCCGCAGACATGAAATATACCATGTTACCGCCCAATACCACTCTTTATTACCCCTAATGGATTGAAATATTTATGAGATGCATAGAACAAATATATTATAGCTTTTTGCAAAACTTACCCACTATTTTCTGAATAAATTTTTTGCGTTGATTTATGGTGCACATCAATTGATTGCACCTCGGCGCAAAAGATATGATCAGTAAACAAAGTACGAGAATGCAACATTTCGCAATCTCACTAAACAAACCGTGGAATTGCGGTTGATGAACTATTGAATTCATCCTTGACATTGCTAGTTTCGGGAAGACCTTGGTTAAGTGCTCTTTTGCATCCTGCAAGAAGAATATTTTCCGAGGTTTTGAATTCTAAAAATAGACCCTTAAAGAAGAAAATATGAAAAACTTAAAATAAAAAGAACATTACATGATTACATGGGATTACAGGGAAATTTGGAATTAAGACTGAAATTTAGGACTAAAGTTAAATAATTAATTAGTTTTTTCCCTCTGGTATCATTTATTCTTCATTTTCTACGAGCGCAGCAAAGTATCGCTCTTCAAATGCCATTAAATTATAATTAGAATTTTCCGGAACATTTCCTGGAACATTTATATACAAAATTTTTCATTACGTAGGTATTTTACCCGAATTATTTAATATTTTTAATGATTCAATTTAGTAAACCACCTACTTAATGTTATGCTTATCAAGTATTTTTATTAGGAAATCACTTAAACACCTAATCACATTAACAAAACCTTATAGTTAATTAACCGGTTAATCAGTGCGATTGCAGGTACTTTAGGTTGATTAATATAAAATGAATCCAATTTTGATATAAAATTACATCCACTTAAATGTTTTTGGACAATTGGAGACAAATTTATGTTTGTAATTTGTATCAAACACTATTATCAGGTAATTACATGATTTGATTAATTTCTAATCAGTTCGTTGAAACAATATACTAAATACTTTAACCTAATTCTTTGTTAATATGAAATTGTTTACTTTTCAAAAACTCCGCGAATTGATAATTTGAAATAGTAATTCAAATTTGTTACATACACTTGTAAACCGTAAACCGTTAAAAAGATTTCCCACCAAGAAATCTAATCGCTCACATTTGTTTTCAACGTAACAAACCGCGATAAGAAAAACGGTAAGAATTTCCGGGCGTTAAGTTAAAAATAAAGTACGTTATACATATTAAAGAGATTGTTAAACAGGCGAATTGAGACATAATTATGTAAATCGTCAGGTTAATAAGTTTTTCTGATGTAACTAATTACAGGTACAATTCTAAGGGAAAATTTATTAGAGATAATGAATTTTAATAATACGTACATTTTATTTATTTAATCCTTGATAAAAGCTAAATTATTCCTTTCTTGGTATGCTTATATTCATGAACGATTCGGCGGCAAAAGTAAACTTACATATTTGGCGGATATGAAAATGATTAGGTATAGACAATCAGTGTTTTTATTTTTAGTGTTTTTGGCACAGCTTTTTGCTTGCATGTTTTATGCATGAGATTATGTTGTAGATACAATTTTATATTTGCCGTTGCAAGACGTTATGGGACAACACGTTTTGAGTTTTCCAAAAAATCCTTAAAATAGAACAAAACGTGTGGTCTCATACTTATTTTCATTTTTTACGGAAATATTTTAGGCAAATACAATAATAAATACAATATTTGCCTACATTAATTAAAAGATGAAAAACGAATCAGGAGAAATTAAAGTCTCTATAAATTTCTTCTAGCTTTAAAGTTTCGTCGTATTTCACTAAAATTACCTTGTTTTTTTTGTATCTTTCATGTTCATCAAAATATTTGTCTGTGGTTTAATCAATAGGTTTTAATATTTAATATAGCGTGTATGTATGTAAGTCAGCAGTTTATTTTTATTCACATCTGAATTAAACATAAACATGATTCAATTATCTTTTTTCCAATTACCTTGTTTCATGAAACAGTTCTAAGTCACATTCTCAACATTTTCTAACTATCTTAGCTGTTAAAATAAGATAGATCTGTTAAGCTGAGATCAATAGTTAGCCCTTCTTCCTATACATTTCTTCCTTTTTACTTTATTATCATAATTAGAAAGTAATATTTCAATATTAAACATTAATATTTGTATGTTTTTTGAGACTTCCTACTCAATAAAACGTATCAATCTAAAGATATAAATGCTTTAGTATCACTAATGCTTATTTTATTACCTACGTAAAAAGTAGATATATCCTCGTAATTACTACTAAACATAGCGTAATATAATCAGGTGTTTGTTATTTTTATATTTTTGGATCATTGTCTTCCTAAATATAATTCATTCACACTAGACGATTTCTATTTTAGTATCACCTTGATAAACCACAGACAAACAAATCCTTCGTAATTTGTTTTAATGAAGTTTTGTAGCATGCAATTCGAGTTTAGATTATTTTAAAAAAAGTTTAATTACATTCAAGTCATTAAACCGATTAATTACAATTATTATAACGGGCTGTAATACATATAAGTGATAGTTCAATAGCAGATAGAGGTTTGCATTTCTCTTTATTGTTGCAAGTAATTTTTAAAAAAATTAAATTTCGAATTGCTTTAAGTAGGAATAAAATTTTTGTACCTAGAATTTTTATCAGAACAATTTCATTACGTTAACAATAATTATAATTAGAAAGAGTGACTCAGCTATGTTAAAAATTGGGTGGAAATGGAAGCAACATTAGTTGAGCCATTCTGTGTCAATCGTGAATCTAGGTACAAAAATCTGTTACTGTTTGCTACTCCCTTTTTCGTTTGAAAAGCGGACTACGGTAAGTACTCCTTACTCTTCCCATTTGCAATCGCCCTCATCATCATCATCTTAGTAAATGTTAGTGGCTTGTTTTTGCAGCATGGCCGCTCAGATTCATATCGTGTTGCAACTATCCCGTCCAATTTCGACGACAACAAAACTGCAGATGGCCGGCCCAAGGTAAATATGGACAGTTCTTATGCGAATTTCCGTCGACCTGGGATACACCATGCGTAAAAATCGTTCATTCGATAAGCTGGCTTGTTGGCCTACTTAAATTTTCTGATAAACTTCTGTAGGTAGATATGGCATGATTCCGTTATAAGTGGTAGCTGTTATTTGTACAATTATATCTGGAATAATCAGTTGTACTATAAATGATAGAGATTTTTTTGAGAAGTTGATAATTCTACAACTTTTCTCACATTTTCTTTCAAGTAGAAGGTAATGGTTTTTTGAGACGAGTGGGTGAGTTATTGATGGGATAGGTTGACTTTTACGACCAACTTCTCCAAATTATAGATTAACTTGGTCTTTAATCATGTCTCTAGCCATTGCCAGAAGAGGAAGGTCTTTTCAGAAAAAACTCACTCACATTACCTCCAATTGGCAGTACTGCATAGACTCTAAATATACTCATACAAATAGTTTGGTAAGGTCAGGAATTCCGACCTTGCATCAACAAATTCCGCTTTTTCTACCCTCTATTTGTCTTTTTTTAAATATGTGATCGAAGTAATTTTCCTTTACTCGTTTTACAATTTTCCATTCGATCGATGGAAGAGTTACCTTACTACTTACTAGAGTTTTTCGAGTCACGAATCGCATGACCAACGTTTCATAGTATAGCTCTGTCAGGCCAGTAGGTTATTTTCTATTTTTAGATTATAGGGCGACAGTTTTGTCTGACTGGATCGATGAATGAGAATCACTATTCGGTATCGAGGAAATTTCATTCGGAATTGCTATGCGAGTTGCAAATTATGTCAGCGAGCGAATAAATTATACATTGTCACAAGTGACCTAAAATGTGGTTGTTTAAATCCCTATACCTACCAAAATATTAATATCAAGGGCTTTTTATTTAACTAAGCTTTTCATTTTGGGTAGTATATTTTATAACTCATTAATATTTTGTCGAAATTGATAAGGTCACAACAAACAGATTTCCGTAGGATGTTCAAGAGTTGATATAAAATAGTAAAAAAATTAAAGCTTGACCTTCGATATTTTAGTTGAAACTACAACGATGAATTATTGATAAGATTCCTGAACAAATTATTAATATTTAAAATCAATCCGAAATTAAATTACACTTGGTATACTGGTAAATTGACTTATGTTAAAGAAGTTGTCAATAATGTCATAAATGAATAACTGTCATAAATAAAACCCTGTTAGTTGCCTTAAATCATCTTTACTGCTAAAATTTCGAAGAAATGGCTACATTAAAAGGCCGACCTGCTAAGGTATTACACATTACAAACCCACAAAACCTATTACAAATTTATGGTTGATTCATAAAAACCACATTTATTGATTGTTTTACGGAACCAATTTATGTAAGTATCTACTTATTGAACATCGTATTTGATACCGTATTTTTTATAGTCTCGAAGGAAGGTGAAGAAGATAAGGAAAGCTGAGGATTTAGATGATTTGAAACAAGAATTAGACATCGATTATCACAAGATCTCACCAGAAGAATTGTATCAAAGATTTCAAACACATCCCGAAAACGTGAGTATACAATCATTTACAATCACAAATGTTCAGGTTGGCCAAATAATGATTTTATTCTCTTACTGGCGCAATTCTAAATGCCACGTTTATTTTGTAGGATTCTAATTTGATGGATTTGTAAATCAATAATAAATTAATCTATATATAAATGCTTGTTATTATTAAAATGTATTTGAAGCATTTAAAATGATTAGTATTCTGTAGTTACAATGCATTTACATTTTTAATTTGGCCTTTGTATTTATCAAAAAATGTTTTGCTCTGAATATGCAAAATGATTAAAAGCACAATTAATACTTCAAACCTATCCCAACAATAAATGCATAGAAATAAATGCAATTAAAAATAGTTCGATATAATTAGGATATCACATGCTGTTTATTTTTAGGGTCTTAGTCATGCAAAAGCGAAAGAAAATTTGGACAGGGACGGACCCAATGCTCTCACACCCCCTAAAACCACTCCCGAATGGGTGAAGTTCTGTAAAAATCTTTTCGGTGGTTTCGCTCTTTTACTTTGGATCGGTGCAATCCTTTGTTTTATAGCCTATTCCATACAGGCTAGTACTATAGAAGAACCATCAGATGATAATCTGTATCTTGGCATCGTATTAGCTGCCGTTGTTATCGTTACAGGTAGGAATTTTCTATTATTATAGTGAGAAGTTCTTTGTTGATGATGCGTTTGTTTTTCAGGTATATTTTCGTACTACCAAGAAAGTAAAAGCTCGAAGATTATGGAATCGTTCAAGAATATGGTACCTCAATTCGCTACCGTACTTAGGGAAGGAGAGAAATTAACCCTCCGCGCCGAAGATCTGGTGCTCGGTGATGTGGTTGAGGTGAAATTCGGCGACAGGATTCCAGCTGATATCAGAATAATCGAATCTAGAGGATTCAAAGTCGACAATTCATCGTTGACGGGAGAATCCGAGCCACAAAGCAGGAGTCCCGAATTCACGCACGAGAATCCCCTCGAAACTAAAAACCTAGCGTTCTTCTCTACTAACGCTGTCGAAGGCACTGCCAAAGGTGTTGTTATTAGTTGCGGAGACAATACGGTTATGGGCCGTATCGCCGGTCTGGCATCCGGTTTGGACACCGGCGAAACTCCCATCGCCAAAGAAATACACCACTTCATCCATCTCATCACCGGCGTGGCCGTTTTCTTAGGCGTCACCTTTTTCCTTATCGCTTTTATCCTCGGTTATCATTGGTTGGACGCCGTCATCTTCCTGATCGGCATCATCGTGGCCAACGTACCGGAAGGTCTCTTAGCCACCGTCACCGTTTGTTTGACTCTCACTGCCAAGAGAATGGCATCGAAGAACTGCTTGGTAAAGAACTTGGAAGCTGTCGAAACCTTGGGATCCACCAGCACCATTTGCTCAGACAAGACTGGAACGCTGACTCAAAACAGGATGACCGTCGCTCACATGTGGTTCGATAATCAGATCATCGAAGCCGATACGACAGAGGATCAATCGGGCGTCCAATACGACCGAACCAGCCCAGGTTTCAAGGCGTTGTCCCGCATCGCAGCCTTGTGCAACCGGGCCGAATTCAAACCCGGCCAGGACGGTGTCGCTATATTGAAACGCGAAGTCAACGGAGACGCGTCCGAAGCCGCCCTTCTCAAATGCATGGAACTGGCCCTCGGCGACATAATGTCCATCAGACGCAAGAACAAAAAGGCCTGCGAAATTCCCTTCAACTCCACCAACAAATACCAAGTGTCGATTCACGAGAACGAAGATCCCAACGATCCTCGTCACATTTTAGTCATGAAGGGAGCCCCGGAAAGGATCTTGGAACGGTGCAGCACCATTTTCATTTGCGGCAAGGAGAAGGTGCTCGACGAAGAGATGAAGGAGGCGTTCAACAACGCGTACCTGGAATTGGGCGGTCTCGGCGAGCGCGTGCTCGGCTTCTGCGACTTCCTCCTGCCCACGGACAAGTACCCGATCGGCTACAAATTCAACGGCGACGATCCCAACTTCCCGCTGGACGGGCTCAGATTCGTCGGGCTGATGTCGATGATCGATCCCCCTCGCGCCGCCGTACCGGACGCGGTGGCCAAGTGCCGAAGCGCCGGTATCAAGGTCATCATGGTGACCGGCGACCATCCCATCACCGCCAAGGCCATCGCCAAATCCGTGGGCATCATCTCCGAGGGCAACGAGACCGTCGAGGACATCGCCCAGCGGTTGAACATCCCCGTGTCGGAGGTCAATCCGAGAGAGGCTAAAGCTGCAGTCGTGCACGGCTCCGACCTGAGGGAAATATCCTCCGATCAATTGGACGAAATACTGAGATATCACACTGAAATTGTATTCGCTAGGACCTCGCCTCAACAGAAACTCATCATCGTCGAGGGTTGTCAACGAATGGGCGCTATCGTTGCTGTTACAGGTGAGTTTTGTTTCTATTTGGCTGTTTTATTTATATTGCTTTTATAATTCTGGTATTGATTAAATCGTTTGATAAAGAATGAATGAATAATCTTTAATTGGGCAATAAATGTTAAATAAATTCGAGACACGTGACATAATAGAGTCGTAATAGAAATTAATCCCGCGCCAGATTGACAACGACGTTACAATAAAATAGCCTTGAAATCCGTAGAAAACTTCTCCACACGCGTCACATCCCGTTCCACTATTATACAATTAGTTGTTATGACTGTAAAGTGGCCTTTAAAATAGGTTGGACATCCCGCGATTAGGTTAAATTGAAGGAGTGTTTACTATTATCGGTCATGTTCATGTAATACCGACGATTATCGCTTCATTATACCTAAACGCGTTTATAACGTTTTTATCAATGAAACGCTCGGTTTCTGTTTAAAATTCAATGCTAAACTTTTCACAGAGGTAAATAACTTCTTTGTCGTTTGTGTCATCATTGTTAATTTTCGATTTAAGTCTTAAGTACTGCTGTAGTCTAAATCAATATTTCCAACTTTAGCTTTGCAGTTGAAAATTGTCTTAGATGCCCAATGAAGAATAGATGAACAACGTTAAAGAAAGACTGAGCCTCTTACCACCTCAAAACTCATTTTCAGGCATTCAAAAAGGAATATAAATCTATATCACCATTGGAAATCTTATCTTTATTCTTGCTTTGATGAGTGTAACTTGAGCTCTCGGTACCTATGTTATCTATCTCTCTTCTCCCTTAATTTTCCGACTGCCAAGCTACGATTTAATCTGCTTCAATTTGCAATCTTCTAATTCTGGTGGGTCTTCTTACTTTCTCGACCACTTTTTTTATAATACATATTTCCAAGAAACTCTCGCTCTGCTTCTAATGAATTCTTCTGTCTTTTATACGACTCCTAATCATTCTGTTAATGTCCAGCACAATTCATAAGCAGATACAAAACCCGAGGAAGAATGTTTTTAGATCCCAAAAATCTAGTGACAACAAGGGTTTTAGAACTCAATAAGGACGTTATTAGTACTTCTTTTTAACTCTAATGAATCGTTTAAAGAGTGTCTTTAATGTAAAAACCGTTTATAGTTACTCCATAACAACAACGCAAGTACAACAGTCAAGTTAAAGAGACTCTAAACGATTGATTGGCGTTAAAAAGGAGTGCTGAATACATGCCAATGACTGTACATCAGTGGTAAAACGGCAGAGGATCCTATGATCTAGTTGGTTCTGCAAAGACTAACCCGCATACAGGAACAACAACAGCTCCTAATCCATCGATTTTCAATGTTTAGGTGACGGTGTGAACGATTCGCCGGCGTTGAAGAAGGCCGACATCGGCGTCGCCATGGGCATAGCCGGTTCGGACGTGTCCAAGCAGGCCGCCGACATGATCCTGCTGGACGACAACTTCGCTTCGATCGTCACCGGCGTGGAGGAGGGCCGGCTCATCTTCGACAACCTCAAAAAATCCATCGCCTACACGTTGACCTCTAACATTCCCGAAATCTCGCCTTTCCTCGCCTTCATTCTTTGCGACGTTCCTTTACCTTTGGGTACGGTTACAATTCTTTGCATCGATCTCGGAACTGACATGGTAAGCATCTCATTCTGTTTGACGATCTATTTCGAATCCGAGCGAGCGCTAAAAATCGTCGAACGGGAAACGTTGATAGTTTACTATTCCTTCGGTTGAAAAGACTCTTTCGAGTGTTTTTAGTTGCTCGCCTAATGAATTTCTCGGGAATATATTTACTTTCCCCGCTGTTGTAATTTCGAAGGCATCAGATTAAAACTGTTGTATGATTTTGATTTGTTCCGGACGGAAAGGTGCCGGCCATATCGCTGGCATACGAAAAGGCCGAATCCGACATTATGAAACGTCGCCCTCGTGATCCACGGTCAGATAATTTAGTAAACGAAAGGTACAAATGACAATTTAAAGAAAGAAAAAAATTACTACATTTCGATACAGTTTATCAGCAGCATGTAGAATTCGAAAAACAGAGTTTTCTAAGTTGAATTTGCACATTGGTTACGAATCAGTTTCATTTTGAACACTTTCGATTTTGTAGATGAGTAGTATGAGGAACATGCAGTTATGATGTAGAGGTGCATTCTATCAAGGTTATTTTTGTTGTTTGAATTACTCTAATTAAATTTTTTAAGAAGAGTTTTCTTTGGTAATTTCTTCACTTATTTTGTTTCGCACTGAAATAAGATTTCTAAATTCTTTTACTTTTCTAGTTTTTGTAAATCATCAAATGTCAAATTTCTAAACAAAAATGTCAAATCTGTCAAATTTTGAATAAACTCCAAATAACAACCTACTATAATTTAGAGAGTCGCATTTTCTGGAATATTTTCGTTAATTTGGCATTGACAGTTATCATTTAAAATAAAATGGCGCACTTTTCATACTAAAATGGAGTAGCAATAACTTTTGATTGCAATAGAAATAATCTTGGTTTTCTAAATATTTCATTGGAAAGTTACAGATTAGATTTTCAGTGCATTTTCCTCAGTTGTTTCAGTAAATCGTAGAATTAAAAAAGTTTTTGCTAAAAAATTTAAGGATATACTGTAATCAAGGAAGGTACGTTTTGAAGAATTTCTCGTTTCTTTGCTAATTTTTCAAATACTTGATCTTGTTTTTCTTACATTCGAAGCTTTAAACAGTTCAAGCTCTAGTTAGGCTAAGCCTGAAAATTCCATCACCAAACAAGCGATAATAATAGTAATAATAATAAAATTTAGTTATTATTGGGTAACATTCACTTTTTTAAATTATTTTCGATATGTTTTGGTGGCGGATTAAAAATCTTTTTCTTCTATCACTTTTCTACGAACTATGAACAAGGCCATAGAATCTTTTACTTTCACATTTTTTGTTGACTTTACTTTAATTTTCTTTTTCTATTTTATTTTAATTTAACTTAGGTGCCTGCTATATCTTTGGCTTACGAGGAAGCTGAAGCTGACATAATGAAGAGACCTCCGAGAGATCCACATAACGATAAACTTGTTAACGATAGGTGCATTTTTATTTTATTTTATTTTTGTTTGTTTCAATTTGTTTCGAAAGTGATTTATTTTTATAATCAGTTGGATGAATTTCATTCGACACTAAAATTATTGAAATTTTTTTAGAATTGGTCAGTCGCGTTTTAAATAAATCACTTTAGGTTTGATTTAAATTTGCCCAAACTAATGGTAAAAGTACTAACCCGGTGTTTTGTAGATAGTATCGTTGTTTTAAAAGAAATGTTTAGCAACATTTTAACTAGAACCAATTCGTTTTAACCTCATGGATCCATAAACGTTAACAAAAATTCTGATGCCTGTTTTTACTAAAAAAAGGTGTTTGGTAATAATTTGACGAAATCGTTCCTTATTCATTAAAAACAAATAAATATCAACAAATTAACAACAAGTATTCCTCATATTATAATATCTGTAATTTGGGGGTTTACTAAATTTGAATTTCGAAGCTATTTCGTTGATGTAATATCCGAACGTTTTGGGGAATAATTAATATTATCGGTAACATTTTGAGGTTTGTTGAATGGGGGTACATTCGTTATTTAGTGTACAAATAACATTTTTTATGCATTACAAATTGACACATTTATTACAGTTACTTACACTCCCCTTTCCCATTTTAATCGCGTAGATGCCTTGCTTAGCACTTAGCTTGGTACAGTACTTAGTCTTAGAATTTCAGTTATTTTTTCATGAATTTTCGCCGGTGGGAAATTTTTTTAGTGTAGATAGCGAGTCGTTTTGCTCATTTTAAAAATATTTTACTAAATACTTATCTCACAAGCTCCAAATTTATATTTACAAGTATTTCCTTTGATATTCAGATTTGTTAAAACACATTAGTTTTTCAAAAGAGGAAACTATCAACAGATGTCGGATCATGACATCCTTGGGGCCTTTATGTCCTTCTAATCCAGTTCCTAAGATCTCTAATTTCCAAAAAGTTCTGGTTCATACTCAAACCATTGATATTTTAATATTCCGACTCCTATCGTTTGCTTTAAAAGTTTCTCTTCTATTTTTGTGCTGTTAAATATAATTTTATTTGTTCACTACGTTTTGTCCTGTTGATTCATTCACTTTGTTGTAAATACATTTATGTCGGTTTTCAAGAACTTCGAACAGGATAAATACTGAAAGAAGACTAGGTAAAAATAAACCAAGGAGCAGTGCAGGCATGATTGTGTCGCCCTCTCACGTCCGTCCATTTTATGTGGTTTTGTTTTGATTTTTGAAGGTTTTTTGGCGAGCAAAATTCCAACATTTAGCTAACGTACTAAATTGTGTATATCTAATGAAAATTGGCTATAATTGAGTAATCTCTCCAAAAAATCAATTTTTGTTGACATGTGTTTGTTTGGCCGAGTTCAGGTCCCAGCCATATCGCTGGCGTACGAGGAGGCAGAATCAGACATCATGAAGCGAAGACCTAGAAATCCTTTCAGTGATAAACTGGTCAACGAAAGGTAAAAGTAAAGACGTCTTCGTGATTTGTGATTCGTGATAAGTATCTTCTTTTTTATTTCTGGATCGAGCTACATTTTTTATTTTCGATCGGGCTCGTTCCTGCCTCGAAATAATCGACTCGGCTGCATTATACTTGTGTTTTTATTTTTCGTTTTATATATTTTTTTTGTTTTCTTCATACTGCGAACTTCTGCTTTCCTTTTACATTCCATTTTCTATCATTGCACCAATGCACTCGTTCATTATTTGTGTTTTCGAACCGCACTCATCTGAACGGTTATTAAATTAAATCTCTAATTCGACGGTAATAAAACGACCGGAATTAAGGACGGATTTAATTTAATAATTCGGAATGGGTCAGGCTTACATACACCCGTTTCAGGTTTAAAAGTAATTGGTTGTGGACTATTTTTCTTATTCGCAAAAAAACTGAACGTAAATGTTCGTGGTTTTGGCTTGTGCCGATGGTCAGATTGATTAGTGACGTCCTGCTTTTCGCGCTTAAGACATGTTGAACACCTATCATTTTTTAGGAAGCTTTTGGACAAACTATTAGACTTAGTTTGTCCAATTCGTTACACAGTTCATATTCATCGCATTTCATACCACGCAGCAGTTAATGCTTCACCATAAACGCGTCGAAATCTCGGAAATAATGCATCCTTATTTGCCCTTTCCCTCTACACACTATTCTGAACAATCTATACTGAATAAAACTAGTGACAGCGGTAAGTGAGCAGCGTTTTTTTTATATTCCTCATCTGGAATTGTACAGACGTGGGTTTATTTACAAATTCGCCTTCTTACTATATCTTGTACCGCTAGCGCTAAACGAACAAAAAAACAACTTGGTGCACGTTTATTTTCCACTACTAACTGTGTATGTTGCGCCGCCATCTTTCTCTATAGGTGCCTGCTATTTCTCTGGCTTATGAAGCCCCGGAGTCCGACATAATGAAAAGACAACCTCGCGACCCCTATCGGGACAACTTGGTTAACCGTAGGTGGGTTCCAGACAAGATTTGAAACGTAACTCGCTAAAGTGGCCGTTGCAGACAAAGGCAGCTCATTCACAAAATTGTATTAAAAATTTCTTATTATTAATAATGCGAAGATGAACAAATTGTCGCCTTTGTCTTGCGAATGTACTAGCAAACACTTTCGTGTGTGTCTAGTTGAAAAAAATAATAACTCGGTTCACTGCGGTGGTGTCGTTGATGGCTTGGCACTACACAACAACTACCTCGGCACTAGCAAATACTACCGCGTACCAGACACGACTTTGTTTTACGTTTTTTGCGAATTCACCAAGCACGGTTTTTCTTTTTCGCTTTTACGTTGAATTTTTTAATGTACACGTATTGTAGGCAGACGCATTTTTGCACACTAACTCGTTGAGTAGCGGGATTGGGGGACATCGTAGTTTTGTTTATAGAGATTTTCGTACTTGACTTTTGACAGATTTTATGTTTGCGTGTATAAATGCATTTGTAACTGTTGTTCTCGTTAGTTTTATGGATATTATTGCGGCCTTAAGGGGTCTTTTAAACATAGAAATTTACTATCGGGATTAATGTTGCGATATATGTATGAATATCCGATGAAAAGAAGCTTTTTTTGTACGAAATTTACTAAAAGGAACTAATAGAATGACGAAAGGGACATAACTTAAAGATCCACAAAATATAAACATATTTTAGCTAAACATATCATTACTAATGATGAGTTAGTAATAAATAAGTGGAAACTAAATAATCTGTTAATTTTCAAGGGTTTAATAGGTGTTTTTTGTTCACCTAAGTATTCGAGACGTTTCGAAAAAATTGAAAAAATGAGATTTTTTTACTGTTTTTTTAGTTAATTTTTTTCATACTCAAATTAGATTTTTGTAGTTTAGCATTGTTATCGAACTTGATAACAGATTTTTGCCGAGGTATAGTTTGTGTTGAGTCTAGAGCAGTAGAGCGTTTTTTACATAGTTATAATAGAAAGCCATTCACGCCAATTTTGGACGGTTTGGTGTTTTAGTGTTTTTATATTATTTAGTATATTTCTAGTTGCATCGATCTTGACGAAAGTCGCGATTTTATGCTCATGGAGCATCGTTTATTTCTAGTTAAATCATGTCTGCCTTCAATATAGAGTTAGTTTATTATCGATTCTTAGTGTGTAGAGGTTTCTATTAAACGATATTTAACAAGCATGCTTAACACCCTCGCAATCTTTTTCGTCCTTTTTCCGCTGTATGCTTCTTTGAAACAGATTAGAAAGCTATACGTTTAGTTAAAGTTCTTTATTTTACCTTGCTGTCTTTACTAAATTTGTTGATTGTCTATTCAATAAAGCATTGGTGAAAGGTAAAAATAGAGAAACGCTTTTATTAATTGCTGTCGCTATGATTTTAGCTACGCTCTAACTAAAACTAGTTTAACTTGAAACTAATCTTTACAATTTCATTGCTCATTAGTAATTTTTCCATCCAAAATGTCACTTTATTCAATTTTGGATGGATTTTAATTTTTAATCTAACCCGAAATCGACTTAAAAACGAGCTTAATACCATCACCAAGTAAGTAAACAACTATGTTTATTATAATAATTACAAAGAATCATACTATTAAAATAGTCCTGCTAAATATCCCATCCTCATTCAGCAGAAGTACCGCTTTTATTACCAATAGGTACAGCGTTATTCTAGCTTTACGTGTTAAAATGTTTCCAATTTAAATTCGACACTGTCTTAAACTCTATTAGTTGCATGGGTAGTTTAAACTAACTAAAATAAATCGACTATTTTAAATAAAAATAATACTGCATGTTTGTGGATATATGTATGTATAAAAATATAAGATAGTTCGAACTGATAAAGAGCTAGTTATGCGCTTTCGAAAAATCGTTTAAACTACACAATTTATTAGTTTGAGCTATTCTTATTAAACCAATTTTTAAGCTACTAATTAAATAATTAACAAGATTAGTTAAGTTATGTAAATTTGTTAAAAATTTAAAAAGATATCTTAAAAATTGGTGAGCTTCGTTTTGGCACAAAGGAATTGAGACTAATCTAAGTTAAATGTATCTAGATTGATTTCGATGGCATATGGTCAAATCGGTATGATCCAAGCTGCAGCTGGTTTCTTCGTCTATTTCGTCATCATGGCTGAAAACGGATTCCTGCCGATGAAGCTCTTCGGTATCCGGAAACAATGGGACTCGAAAGCCGTCAACGATCTTACAGACTCTTACGGCCAGGAATGGGTAAATACCAATACTATCTAAACCACCGTAATGATGCTAATACATGTTTTGTTTGTTGCAGACTTACAGAGACAGAAAGACTTTGGAGTACACTTGCCACACGGCGTTCTTCGTATCTATCGTGGTCGTACAATGGGCCGATTTGATCATTTGCAAGACTCGCCGTAATTCGATCATCCACCAAGGCATGAGAAATTGGGCGTTGAACTTCGGTCTCGTGTTCGAAACCGCGCTCGCTGCGTTCCTTTCGTACACTCCCGGCATGGACAAGGGTCTCAGAATGTTCCCTCTCAAGTGAGTTTTGTACTTCATTTAGTCATATTCAGCTGAATTCTTGCTGGGCTGAGGATTATAAAAATTTCTATTAGTATAATAACTTGGAAGTTGGAATAATGAGGTTTGATGCACTATAGGGAAATTTAAAGAAGGGAGAGATAGGTAACGAGGGTGCCATTAAACCCCTCGCTCGAAGATTTTTGCGATTTAAATATTACATGTGAAAGAATATAAAGACTTTCTTGGATACTTAAACATTTTAGTCTTAATATGAGAATCACTACCCCAGACCTCAATGGCGTAGGATATATGGGATTGGAGGAGCACTTGGCAGACATTGAAGAGTTCCCTAGCTGGTGGGATATATTTGAGTTTTCGCAAAATTAATATTATCCTAGAAATTTGAGTCTAGACTGCCAACTAAGGCTTGATTTATGGCCAGTAATTGCGCTCCTTTCTCTGAACTCCTTTGTATGGAGCCACATAGTCTTATTCTATATCACGTTCTGATGTATGTTTTTGTATTCTAGGTTCGTCTGGTGGTTGCCAGCAATTCCATTCATGTTGGCTATCTTCATATACGACGAAGTGCGACGGTTCTACTTGCGACGTTGCCCCGGCGGCTGGTTAGAACAAGAAACCTATTATTAAGTATTAAATATCAGAGTACTGCCACTCAGTGGATGCTGCGGGGACGGTTCGTTCTCCGCAGTTTCGATAGGAAAGATCTCGTTTACAATGTTAGCATGATGTACCGATACGCGGCGAAAGCAGTTGTTACTAAAATTAATTAGAACCGACGACGTCTTTCCCTATCGATTATTGTACAAAAAAAAATACTGTTGCTAATTCTAGTAAATTTGCTGCTTGTGCAGTTTTTAAATAGTTAAGTACGTCGTGCAAGATAGAGGCGATTCCTCCGAGCAAACGACTCGTTCGTGCACGCGTTAGTTATTTATTAATCTTATTAATTTGGATTATATTAAAAATAGAGGAAAAAAAAAGTAACAATGACAAGTATGAACCACAACCAATAACAATAATTCACTGTCTGTCGAAGACATTTTAGTCGCAAGAGCGGTTTTCAAACATTCCATTTTTTCGAGGACTACAGTTGCCTTAGTGCTGTCTGTCGTACGGAGTTTCAAATAATTAATAAATAATATTCGGAAGAATAAGGATCGGGTTCGCGGCGTCTCGGCGGCTGCCCCGTCGCTGTTGCTTGTTGAAAGGGAGCCACTCGGACGACAAACACGCGTGCGCGACGCGTATGAATGATTTTAGTACTATTTAGGCTTTCAACACTTAGGTTAGCTAGATTGTAACTGTGTTGTTATTCGTATTTAAATGTCAACCAGGTCGTCGTGCTCAATACACAACATGACTATAATAATTAAACACGATTGTAATCATTTAAATGAGAATCATCTAATCTTTTTTTTATTATTATATAATTTGATTGTATATATTCTTTGTGTTGGTTTTATTTAAAGTCAGATTCCAGTGCAAGGGTTGATCGTTGTTATAACACACACTATAATATTAAAGTAAAGGTGGTTTTGCTTACGTAGAGTTTTTATTTTTCATAATAATCTGTCGCGCTTCGGTCGGTGACCAGCGGACCACGGTAATGTTATCTGACTGTAAATAGATTTAAGTAAATCACTTAATTATATATTTCGCTTGTGTTCTTTTCAAATTCATGTTTTTAGTAAGTGAAGGAGCTGTTTACATTTGGGTTTTAATAAAATGAACGATAGTAAATTAAGATAGAATTTTGTTTGTTCTTCCAATATGTTTATTTATTATGCGAAAATATTCGTTTGCTTTTCACTTCCTGTATAATTTTAAGTAAATTGTAGGTTTGTTTGCGAAGACGATTCGAAACAAGTCTATTGCAAATTGCACGTTTGTATGCATGCGCATTCTCGTTTTTATATGCTTTAATTAAAATACACATCTCTACAGAAATATAATTTGTACAGTGACTTGTCCAGGATCGATATACACCTTGATTCATTTCAGTTTGCAATACATATCGTCATTTCCATGAGTTACACAAAGAAAGTTTATTAAAATAACAGTTGTTAGAGTGAAAAGTTGCAATGACACATTATCTCACTTTCTTTTTCTTTATAAGTGTCTAATATAACCTTTATTGCAAACTAAAATGAACAATCTGTATACTATAGCTTTGTTATCCCATTATACCATTTTTAGTAAGCAGATTTCGAATCCTTAACGAAAGAATATAATGGTTTTTCCCTATTGAAAAACACAGTTGTGCAGGAATAATCTCGTTTACGGGCTATCAAACACTTTCAATTTTAAGATATTTTAATGTTTTACTTGTACAAGTATTGAACACATTTTTACATTACATAAATATAATTTTTTAAAAGTATATACAGTAAAAAAGAAATTGCACACATTTTTGAACACGCCGTATTTTAACACCTATATCTACAGGAAATTTTCAGTAATGACAAAGAATTAAATACAATATGGTAAAAAAAGTGATAACGCAACAACGTTACAGAGTGGGAGGAGATTACATTTATTTTAATACTTACTCTAATCCGTCGTTAATTTCACGATAATGCACAAGAATGTTTTAGAAAGAAATTTACAGGATATTTTATATTGTTATTAAATAGTTTCGATATTTCTATTCACCAATATGGCAAAGGAATTCGTCTCAAAAAATCACTCATCGCTCGGCTTTTTAAGACTTAAATGGCACTAAAAAATTATGAAATATCAACTTGGCCACAAGAGAATATTTACTTTTACCGAAGTAATCGACTGATAATATTTATAGTAAAGTTGCGATAGGGCACAATTTTATTGTCAACATGCCATTATTCCTTTCTAAAACACCCTTTAAAAATAAAAAAAGACTAGTGTTCTATTTTAACAATTAAATTAAGTTATTGTTGAGGAAATTCTGTCTACTCAAGTTATCTAGGTGAGGTCCGCTTACGGGCAAAAGACCGGCTTGTGTGCACGATCTACAGCAAAATTTGGCGTAGTACTTGTGCGTACAGTACTTAGCTTTCACAATTAGATCGCAATTCGCGAAGAACTGGTTGTCCGTACAGCTGGGATGTATGTACATTCCTAGAGAAAACGGTTGTATCAAAGAGCATCACAAAAAACGTATTTTTTAACAAACCTTCAACAGCAATTTCTATTCCATTTTCTACTTTATTGTAAGCGTTCGTCGCTTGGCATTGGTAGATTCCTGAATCCGCTTTAGATGCCCTCTCCACCGTTAATACGCTGATTCTTTCAGTTTCTAAAAGCAGCAAAAAATCTCCTATAATTCGCGATACAAGCCAATTTTTATTTATTACCTCTGATGTGTATTTTCTCCGTTTCGTAAAGCTCAATACCATCTTTGTACCACTGAACCTGCGGTTGCGGGTATCCCGAATATTCGCAGGGTATTTCAAACGTGCTACCCTCCGGATATTTCCGATCGGTCAACGTTATATTAGCTCTGACGGGCACTAGATAAAATAATACTTTTAATAACCTATTTTTCGTTTAATGAAGCGCATAAGGTTCTAATCGTGTTAACTCTAATCACCACAACAATTTAATTACATTATTTATAAAGAATTAGGAGAGTAAACAACATGCATACCAGCGAGAGTCGGTGGCGGCCTTCCAACTTGAGCATCCGGCAGGGTGTTGGGAATGATCTCATTAGATGGTTCAGTGGGAACGTAAGGATCATAAGGAATTTCCCTTCTAGGCGTAGTGGTGCTAGGCGTGGTCGCCTCCTCAGGGTAAATAATGAACTTATTATACGGCTGATTGATGTCGTTACCGAAGCCGATCGGTGCTCGAGTTTTGACGGTCACCGACCAACTGGCCGCTTTGCCGAATCCGTTGTACGCCTGGCACGTGTAAATGCCGAGATTTTGGAGTTGAACGGAGTGTATGAGGAGAGAGTAGTCTTTACGTATTTCGAATTCGTTGTTTTTGAACGGTACGATCTCGTCGTCTTTCCACCACGTTACGGTCGGGAAGGGGAAACCGAGGGCGTAGCAGTTTAGGGTGGCGGGAGAGTTTAGGGAAACTACCACTGGCTGTTCGTCGCCCGGATCGCCCAGTATCGACACCGGTCTAGGACCAGAATCTAGTAAATAGCACAAGTAAAAGAGTTTGTTAGTTACTACATACATGCACAGTTATTGCAAATAAGTATGCACTATCTTACCACAACATTTCCAACTAAACAAATAATTAAAAACGTTAGTATAAGTGACCAGTTACAGAAATTTAAGACGTGCTGTGTAACTTACCTAGGACCTCCAATTTGATTTCGTTGGTAAGGGGATCTCCCACGCCGTTATTAGCTGTACAAAGGTAAACTCCTGAATCGGTTTTGTGGAGCGTTATAATTTGTAGCGACTGGTCCAATTTTATCCTGTATCTAGGCTGGGTACCATCGATCTAACAGCAAGGTAAGTAGCGAAAATTAGTATTCATTTAGATAAAAAAAATGCAATAATATTACCTCGATGTTGTCTTTACTCCAGCTGATCTTGGGGTTTGGATTACCAGAAACGGCGCATCTCAGTGTCGCCTGGCCTCCAATCGATGCCGAGATTTCGGGTTCATATTCGATCGGATCCACGCGAGGCGGTTGATCTGTATCGCAATAGAAATATTAACACTCATTATTACCCTAAATAACAAGAAATATAAAAAAGCGTTGTTTACATTGAGCTTCCATCGGTCCTTCAGTGTAAGCGGGCTGGTACTGCTGAGTAACCAACTGTCCAGGAGGTGTCGGATCCACGCAGGCAGTACCGCAACCATTGGAACAACACTTCAAATATAATGCACAATCCGCATCCGTTCTGCATTCCTCTTCGCAATTTTCGTCTTTTAAAGTAGGGCAAGTGCCAGGCTTGTTACCTACAATAACAAACCAGTACATTGGGTGTATGGCTGACCTCCAACATCGAAATGACAGTTTTACATGCATTGTTGGGGCGGTAAATAATAGATATGAATTATTAAAACATACGTTTCCTGCAAATAGCTATAAAATCGGCGTCAGCTGCTGTGGTCTTATTCCTGTTCAAATCGATGGCGCATTGCTCGTCAGGAAGGCACTCGATTTCTACACAGGGGTCGCGGCATCGGCATCGGTTGCAATCGTTCTCGTCTACGAAGGGCTCGACGCCGTAGGGACACCGCATCGTTGTGCATTCGTCGAAGGCTGCCTGGCAGGGATGGGGCGGCATGTCGGTGGTGATTTCTGAAAATTTTCAATTAACAGCTGCATTGTTTGTCGAGCATTTTAGTCGTGATGATGTCAAGAAGTGAGGAGATCGTTTGGAAGCGCGGTGTGTGACCTTTGTGGACATGTGAAGATTTTGTGAAGCTATAAGATAGTAAAGATTTAGAGCTGCATTGTTTGTCGAACATATTATAATCATGATGGTGAGAAGTGAGAAGATCGTTTGGAAGTACTGCATGAGGTTGATGTGTGAGAGAAAATTCGTTGTGAATGTGTGAAGATTTTATGAGATTAATTATTGCGGATTGCAAGAGGAGAAGACGAAGAAAGTGTGAAATCGAATGACGATTCGGATGTGGAAACTTACGAGGTTCAAAGGGAGGCGGTAATAATTCCCTACAATAATCGACGCAATGTCGGTACGATTTAAAATTGTTGAAATTGCCTCCGCAACCGGAGAAAATGAACGCGCGACATTCTCCTCTAGAATCGTCAAAGTACCAACGTTTGCGGTAGCCTTCTTGGCATGAACCCGTATCGGCCGGTAGCCGGCAGAGTGCTGTAGAAACAATATTATACAATCCATACAAAACATATAAAGAGGTGCATCATTTTTCACTCAAAAAATACAATCAATTTCATAAGCATTTTTCGCGCTGTAAAACAACTCATCAGTTTCTTAAATTTACTTAAAAAATTATTACCTGACGCTGTGAGATTCGGTTGGTTCTCGTGATGGGTGATGCATATTTGAGCGCATTCTTCTTCCGAACTGAACCGATTTCCATTACCTTGGCAACCTCCGTAAGCAAATTGGTTGCAACGACCTGTTGATGAATCGTAGTAATATTTCACGAAGTAACCTCTACACGGTCCCGGATCTCTTTGCATATTGCAAACATCTGGAAAAAATAAAATACAATTGTAAGATTACTGTAAAATAAATTAAAGTTAACAATAATAACCTTGATCCCTAAATTCACCACATTGCCTCTGGCATTGCTCTTCGCTGTTGAAACGATTGTTGTTTCCTCCGCAACCGCTGTATACGAACGGTTGGCATACTCTCCTCGTTGGATCGTAGTAGAAAGCGGTAATTCTTTCTAAGCAGTTTCCTGGCTGCGGAGATTCGTAGCACATGACAGCCTCGCTGGCACCTAAAAAAAACCGTTTCATTAAAAAATATTGGCAACTTTTAGGGAAATGAATATTACTCGTTGGCGCCTGCGTGTACGTTGGTTCCGGTTCGGCTCGTTTGCATCGCTGTTCGCAAGACTGTTTATCTTGGAATCTGTTGTAGTTGCCGCCGCACCCGCTGAAGATGAATTCCCGGCAGGAATCGGACGTTTGATCGTAATAGAATTGCGGGTACTGACCACCGCAAGTGCCCTGAATAGGCGGCAGGGTGCATAGATCTGCAAAGTGAACTTGTAGTCGAAACGATACGTTTCAATATATTTATTTACCTTGAGCGTTGCCGCAGTTCTGAAGACAATCTTCGATTCTATCGAACTTGTTTCCGTTGCCTTTGCATCCTCCGTAGGTGAAACTCTTGCATACTCCATCGTTAGCGTCATAATAGTATTTGGTGAAAGCTGCTCTGCAGGGTCCAGTTTCGCTTGGTAAGAAGCATTGGTCTGTTAATGGCATTAAAAATGTAGTTTATAACGATCACCAACATTTTTGATTTTGTTTTAAACATACCTGTTGTGAATGGTTGCGGAGTGGTGGTTGTTTCTATTGGAATTTCCGGTTCCGCCGGAGCGGTTTGCTTCTCGCACCGTTGTTGACAGGACTGCTGGGTTTCGAAATTGTTTCCGTTTCCACCGCAACCGCCGTAGTAGAACTGCCTGCAGGATTTCTCGCGGGTGTCGAAGTACCACCTGTCTACGTAGTTAGCGCATCCTCCAGTTTCGGCGGGTAAATGACAAGTGTCTACTTCTGTTTGCAGGTATAATAATTGTTTATTAACGTTAACGCTTCGGTTGGTTTGTAGAAAAATTAGTGGAGAAAAACGTGTTAAATATTAGAAACTCACCGATTTGAGGAGGACATTGCGCCTCGCATGCTTCCTTGCTGTCGAAATTGTTAGGATTACCGTTGCAACCGGTGTAATAGAACGGTGCGCAAGATTTCTTTGAGGTGTCATAGAACCAATCCGCGTAAACCTCCGTGCAGTTACCTTCCGCCTTGGGTGCCGTGCAAAGGTCTGGTTAGTCGTCATTCAAAAGGGAATGTTAATTAGTTAAACGTAAAAGTGTCTCATGCTGAAGAATTTAATCCTAACCGTTCTGGTAATTATTTAACTTGTTAAAATTTTGTGAAGTATCTACAGGATGTCGTGCGGAATGCTTACCTTTCATTTGTCCAGGTGGAGAGCATTGTTGTCTGCACGCCTCGATTGTGGCGAAATTGTTCTTATTACCTTTACAGCCACCGTAGACAAATGGTCTACACTCCCCGCTCTCTTTATCGAAGAAGAATCGCTGGTAACTTCCGTGACAAGGACCTTCATCTTCTGGTTGTTGGCAAGGATCTGTGAGATAAAAACAATCGTTGAATATATTTTTATACTGTTTTAAGAAAGCTTACCGCTTCCGCTGTCTTTAACGCATAAACCTAAGCATTCTTCTCTGGTTTCAAAACGATTGTTATTTCCAAGACAACCGCCGTATACGAATTGTGCGCATGTTTTCAGGTTCTTATCGTAGTACCATTGTGGATAGTAACCTTCACATGGTCCTGCTACTTTAGGCAATTGACACCGAGCTAAAATTTTTACATATTTTATGAATGTTCTATCATAAAGAGATAATTGCAGTAGATTAAATGCAATTATGTTTTCCTCACCCACTCCTTCCGGATTGACACAAGTTTGATCGCATTCTTCCTTAGATTTGTATCGATTTTCGTTACCATCACAACCGCCATACCAAAATCTGGAGCAACCGCCGTAATCCAGATCAAAGAACCATTTAACTGTGTAATTTCTGCATCCGCCTCGTTCCTTCGGTATCGAACAACCCACTACAACACCCGAAATGTACCGATGCGCAAGACCCATGAAATATCGTTTACAAACCTTGGAGATTTTTGGGAATATCTGTGCATTCTTCGAAGTGTTCACCTTTAGCTTCGGTAACACCGTCTGGACAGCAACCGAATTTGGAGTTTTCGCATCCGCATCCTTCTTGGTTGGGCCCTGAAGCGGGCGTTTTCTCGTCAGGACAGCAACCGAACTCCAAATTTCTGCACCCGCAACCTTTGTAACATAATTTATTAGTACCTTGTGCGCATTTTTTCAAGTAAAATTGGCATACCTTGTCCATAAGGTCCTTGAGCGCTCATAATGCCATCTGGGCAACAGCCGAACTGGAAGGTATGGCATGGGCAGCCCTGGTAATCTGCGCCTTGGGCTCTGGTGTGCCCGTCGGGACAGCAGCCGAATTCGGAATAATCGCAACCGCAACCTTCCTTTTCGTACCCTTGAGAAGCTGTCTTGTTATCAGGGCAGCAGCCGTAAGGAGTAAAGTGGCATTCGCAACCGCTGTTGTTAGGACCTCTCGCCGGTGTGATGTTATCCGGGCAGCAGCCGAAGGCTGATGATAAGCAGCAACCTTCACCGCTGGGGCCGTGAGCTGGGGTTTTCGCGTCTTGACAACAACCGAACTTGGCTTCGGAACAGGGCAAGTTGCAACCTTGGAATCCTGGACCCCTCGCGGGAGTGACGCCGTCCGGGCAGCATCTGTACGCCATCGATTCGCAATCCGTGTCTTCGCCATTTCTATTCCCAATCTCCATCGTTGTTGTTTCTGATGTTAATCCGGTTTCAGTAGTACCTTCGCTGGTTGTATCCGTTTCACCAGATACCGTCGACGTCTCGCTGGGTTCAGTAGATATTACAGTAGTAGACTCTTCTGGGCAACCCTTGTGATCCGGTCCTTCAGCTGCAGTACTGTTATCGTCGCAACAACCGAATTTAGAGCTAAGACACTCGGGAGGACAGCCTTCATTGTCGTTTCCTTCGGCTGGTGTTTTATTGTCTGGACAACAACCGAACATTGTTTCCTTACATTGTGATCGAGGGCAACCGGCTTTCTTAGGTCCAAGCGCAGCAGAGACGCCGTCGTCGCAACAACCGTACTTGGCTTCTTTGCATGTTTTAGGCATCGGACAGCCTTTGTCAAACGGACCGTCGGCAGGAGTAATGTTATCCCAGCAACAACCGAATTTGGATTTTTTGCACGCCTTGACTTTCCTTCTTTTGCACATTCTCGGTTTCTTTTGGAATAATTCCATAATTGACGTTGTACCGAATTCTGTGGAAGATTCGGTCGATCCTGTGAATTCTGTGGTACTCTCAGTGGATTCTGTTGATCCTGTAAATTCACTAGTGCTTTCCGTGGATTCCGTGGAGCCTGTAAATTCCGTGGTACTTTCAGTAGATCCAGTAAATTCTGTACTACTTTCAGTTGAACCAGTAAATTCTGTAGTGCTTTCCGAAGATCCAGTAAATTCTGTACTACTTTCAGTTGAACCGGTAAATTCTGTAGTGCTTTCCGTAGATCCAGTAAATTCTGTACTACTTTCAGTTGAACCAGTAAATTCTGTCGTGCTTTCCGTAGATCCAGTAAACTCGGATGTACTTTCAGTAGATTCTGTGGAACCGGTGAATTCTGTACTTGTTTCTGTACTTCCAGTAAATTCGGTAGTACTTTGTGTCATTGCTTCAGTAGTACTTTCGGTTGATTCAGTGGAACCAGTAAATTCAGTCGTGCTTTCCGTGGATTCTGTTGATCCCGTAAATTCCGTTGTTGATTCTGTAGGGGCGCTTGTTGTACTTTCGGTCGATTCTGTAGAACCAGTAAATTCGGTTGTAGATTCAGTCGATCCTTCTGTTGTGCTTTCTGTCGATTCCGTAGAACCTGTAAATTCGGTGGTCGTTTCAGTTGCTCCTTCAGTAGTACTTTCGGTCGATTCTGTTGATCCCGTAAATTCTGTTGTTGTTTCAGTCGCTCCTTCTGTAGTACTTTCTGTTGATTCTGTTGATCCTGTAAATTCTGTTGTAGTTTCAGTCGCTCCTTCTGTAGTACTTTCCGTCGATTCTGTTGATCCCGTAAATTCTGTTGTCGTTTCAGTCGCTCCTTCTGTAGTGCTTTCCGTCGATTCCGTAGGACCGGTATATTCCGTTGTGCTTTCAGTGGATTCCGTAGATCCTGTGAACTCACTTGTACTCTCGGTTGATTCTGTAGGTCCAGTATACTCGGTTGTACTTTCGGTAGATTCTGTGGGTCCAGTGTATTCGGTCGTACTTTCGGTGGATTCTGTAGGTCCAGTGTACTCGGTTGTACTTTCAGTTGATTCCGTCGGTCCCGTAAATGCAGTAGTAGTTTCTGCTGCTTTAGTGTACTTTTTCTCTCCTGCATCCGATTCCCCGATATTATCAAGTATACTGTCAAGTCCTGATCCTTCAAATTCGGTCGTCGACAAAGAGGATTCCGTCGACAAAGTCGATTCCGTCGACAAAGTCGATTCCGTCGACAAACTCGATTCCGTCGACCAAGTCGAATCAGTAGACGTCGATGAATCTGTAGACCAAGTTGATGAAGACGAAGAAGAGCCTTCCCCGTCGCCGGATCCCACCAGCACTGCCACCAGCACTGGTTGATCGCCCATCATAAAATCATAAGCGAACGGATCGTCTCCTTGGAGCATTTCAGTGGTAGTTTGAACGCTGTCATCTTCTTCAGCATCGTCGACATCCACCCATTCGCCGTCGTCGCAATTATCGTCGGGCACGATTTCGAAATCGTCGGGGTTTTCCGTGGTGACCGGCGTAGCTTCGGTGGTGATTTCGAAACCCGATGAAACTCCAGGCGATTCCGAACCGCTTGTCGGGGTGCTTTCGGGAATATCAGTACTCACGGGTGTTGTAGCTTCTCTTTTCTGCGAAGAGTCTTTCGTTGGCTCGGATTCGTCTACAGCTTGCGTTATATCAGTCGGCATGATTGTGTCTAAAAATATAAAGAAACATTAGTAGGTACACAAATTAAGAATGGTCGAACTTCTGGAGCAGTGGAAACGAGTTTTAAACAATAGTAAAGGTAAAACAGCTAGGCATTTTCTGATGTGAACCATTAGTTTTTAGTTTAAACCAAGTGGACTATTATACGATAAATTCAAAAGAATAATAAATTAACAAATACAGAAGTTCAAGAAAGAATGTAGTATATACCTTCTGAGCAAGGTTGTTGGTTGCAAGTTTCCTCCGAAAATTCAATCTTAGAGCTATCGCATGATGATGATTCGACTATTTCGTTGTCTTTGATACATACAACTTTCTTAGTTCGTTCGCCGCCTCCGCATGGTTTGGAGCACTGAACAAAATAGTTTACAGTAAGAAAATAAAAATTTGAGCAACGCGATAAGTACCTCTCCCCAAGGGCCGCTGAACCATTCCCCATCGCATGTCTCCTGTTCAGCGGTACAGTTTTTTATCGTTTCGAAATTCTTGCTTTGATCGCATTGGTCGTTTTCGACTTTTTTGACGCCATCCACAGTGGACACTCCGCAAAATACTGTTCTCGTTTGGACACCTTGACCACAGGACGCTGAACACTACAAAATTGGTTGTAATTGAGTTCAATTATGTTACCTATACAAATGTTCGTATATTTTACCTCGCTCCATTGAGACGCATACCAGGAATATTGACAGGTATTATTCATAGTTTCGCATTCTCTTACTAATTCTGGTTTTTTATCGGCGTCGCAAAGTTCATCTGGTTGTATTTCGCCGCTAGCTGTCGAACAGAAAACCTTCCGTGTTTCGTTGGTCAAACCGCATTTGTCGCACTAAAATATATCCGAAGAAAATTTCAACAATTGCAATGATTTCAAGTGAAAATTGTATTACCCCTGACCACTGTGACATCAACCAATCCACTCCTTCACAAGGCCGAATGGAACAATCCTTCTCTTCCTCCGGTTTTGGTTCGACTTGCATACATTCGCTGTTATCTAATATCTCCTTTTTGCCGTTTTTCTCTTCGTAACAAAACACTTTTCTCGTTTGCTTACCAGGACCGCACATATGATCACACTACAAATAACATGTTTAATTTAATAACAACAAATTTAGTAGTCGCCTTACTGGTTTCCAAGGATCCGTAAACCATTTAGCGCACGTTTTTCCTTCATTGCATTTTTCCTCTGTAGGCGGTTTGGGTTCGTTCCTGGCGCACACTTCATCGTTGACGAGCTCCGGCAGGCCGTTAGAACCAATTTTTTGGCATGTAACCTGTCTCGTTTTTACGCCGCCCTTCCCGCACGGATACGAGCAGGCGCTCCACGGCTGGATCATCCACGAAGCCTCGCAATCGAACTCGTTGCAGTACTGGAACTCCTGCGGCTTGGATTCCTTGTCGCACAAACTCTGATCGGCCTGCTCCAACGAGTTTCTGCCGGCGCAAGAGACGTTCCTGTATTGAACACCTGGAAAAAATAGTGATGGTATTACTGGGATAGATAGTAGGGGAATGAAGTCTAATTACCTCTTCCGCATGAGGCTGTGCACGGGGTAAATTCGTCGTAAGTCCAGGCGTAGGTTTCCGTTGATGGTGGGGGTACGCTCGTTGGTAAACTGTAGCTGTAACTAATTGGGACGTCTGCTCCTTGGTACAGAAGCTGAAAAATTGCGTTGAATATAAAGTTTGTGTTACCTGTATTTATTGGATGTCTGATGGTAAATACTTACTACAATGAATAAAGATTCGTCTGTTGGTCCTAGAGCGGTGAGTATGTCAGGAGCATCGAATTCTTGGGGTTGCCGGTCGTATTTGAACCGGGTTCCTGCGAAATCTAAGCTTCTGGGAAAGTCGATTTTCCAGTTTCCGTTCAAGTAGTAGAATCCAGTTTTGTTCCTAACAGCTAATAAACTATTTGTAGATCATAGAAGAATATATTTTTTACTACTATCTTACCAAGGTAATTATTTGAAGGTGCCAATTCCTCAATTCTTATATTCGTAGCACCAGCAGGAATAAGTAAAATGTCGTTATAACCTAAAATTATAATAGGTATATAAAATATTTTCACAGGGTTTTGATACGAAGGATATTATACTATAAAAGTTAAGGAAGTTCGAAAATTTTGCGATTATTTTAAAAGTTACAGACTTTTTGATCACCAAATTTTCAAATATGCGAAATTAAATGTTTTCGCTCATATCTGAGTGGATTTTTTGCCCCCTGCACCTCTACAACTCACACTAAATTTGGCGATCAAAAAACCTGCAACTTTTAAATTAATCTCAATATTTGTGAAATTCCTTAACTTTTCTGAAGCAGTTTAATTAAATTCCCAATTAAATATTGAAACGTACCGGCTTGCATATCCTTCATTGGAATCGTATTAGAGTAGGTGTTACAAGTACTTCCATCGCCACCGCACACTCGGCAATTATCCTCCCTGGCGTTCGATCCCAGCATCCTATCGCATCCTACGGGCTAATTTTATGCATTATTTTTATTACTAATAGTTCAAAAATCGACGCTAGATTAAACGAAACGTAGAAAAATAAAGAATGCTTACTTGGCATTTTCCTTCGACGCAAACGTCGAATTCCTCGTCGTTACATCTGGTACCATCGACCACGGCTTCGGCGTGCCTGAAGTAGAAGCGCTCGCCTTTCGCCATGCAATTCAGCTCGCAGGGTTTCGGCGCTTTCGTGTACGGTACCCACCTGTTGAATAGTAAATAGGGAAATGTAGTACCCGATGCTGGGATGGCCGTAGAGTTTACTTACTCGTAGTAGGCCCCGTCGAAGGGTACGTTGTTGTGGTCCGCGCATTGCTGGGCTCTAAAATCGCCTAGGTCTGGGCAATCCTGGAAATAGTAAATTTTGTTTAACACTTCCAGCACCATATCGGTACTACCGAAATATTGGTTTAGTATCATCAAAGATATGTAGATGTAAATTTAGATAGATTATATTATTTGGAAGTTTGACTTTGTAAGAAAATGTGGGTACCTTAGTATAATTATCTTAAGGCTAGAGTTCAGTACTCTGAAAATAGGCGTAAAATGCCCGATTCGCCGCGACGTTTTCAGGGCGTATTTTGAAATTTGACAGGGGGGTCGCAATCTACATATGATCTACCCATTTAGTTGTAATGCGCGACGAAGCCCTTTTTTTGAAAAATGCTTTTGTTTTCGCTTAATTAATGAAAATGTTGAAATCGTATAATCCATTTTCAGGCTACATTTTTAACTTCTTGTATGCAATTTTTGTACCAATGAAAAGAGCTGACTCTTTTCGAACGCGCGACGAAGCCCTTTTTTTGATTTTCCTTGTCATTTGTTAATAATTAGGTTGAATGTGTTTAAAAATTCAACGTTTCAGAACACTAAATTATAAGTTTTAGGCAACTTGTTATACAGTCCGAGAATGATTTATGAGGGGTTGGTTTCGTCTTCAATTTTACGACCCAAATCCGATAATCCGATTACCTACAGTTAAGATGTTAAATTTTAAAATTGCAAATATTTAATTTAGTGTTGCTACATACTTGATTTTTTATTCTACTTTTATTTTACCTCAAGAATTTTTTAAAATATTGTCCGGTTACTAAATTTGATTTGACTAAATTTGATTAAGTACAGGAAGTACTTAGTTATTTTAAAAAAATTATTTATGTCAAGCTCTTTTTGACTGTTGGTACTATTAAATGATTTTGTAACACCACATATGTTATATTAAAAAGTAATTGTACTCTTTACTCCAAACCCCTTTCATTGAATATGTCGACATTAGATACATCGCAACTAAATAAACCATTTTTAACCAAGTTATCAATACAATATCACAATTTTGATACAAAGGACACACGTGGAAATTTAAAAATAACACACAAATTGAATATTCGGATATAGACAACACGAAGACAATGAAGTCACAATTTATCAATAGTCAGAATTCGGAACTGAGTGAATCTATATCGATCAAAACGGTAGGGGTAAAAAAGAAAAACGTTGTTTTTATTGGTTCCCTTCGATTGTTGATCTATATGCGATAAATTTAAATAAACTCAAATTTCCTTTTACTTACATGTATGTAGAATTTATTTAATGAACAAACGCAAACCCAAATTTGAAAATTTAAACGAACATTTAAAAATTTATGTACATTAGGGTGGGCCGTATAAAACGATTGATTACTTGTCGCATGAAATGGTTATTCACATGCATTTGTGGTTAGTATTAAGGACGAAGAATGTTCGACCCATACTTGAGAAGGAAATTTTGAATTGCTGTCAATGTACGTTTCCACTAAATAATCACAAAATTTTGTAACCTTATTGCAATTTGGTTTTATCTCTAAAAGTTCCAATGCAAAACATCCACCAACTATTTCTAACCCAAAATCAAAAAACCCACGATTATTAAGCAATTAGACCCTTATAAACTGCATCGAACGGATAAGAATAGACGGGTGACAACTCGGACATGACCTTTTTTCGCACAGATAAAATTTTGAAATTTGGGTGACAACTCGGACCTGTCCGATTATTTATATGCAGAACAATCGAACCTAATAATGTACTAATGATTGTAGTAGGTAGACAATAATTTTTAAAGTTTTACCAAACCGTTTTTCAATGTTTTTACTTCTCTAATACTAATATCATAAGAAATAGCGTTTTTAACTTGTCACAGTACGAGTTAATTCGAAAACAACTGAACAACTTATGCAATTCTGTGCATGAAAATTTGCAAACAGTTGTCCAGAATTCCGATAAACTGAAGCAAAATATTAGACACTAACTTCTTTATTTAAAATGAAATATCATATATATTTTTACATTTTTAGTGTCTCCATTATGAGCTGATTTCAATGATGTGTTACACTTGCTATTTATCGTCGATATTAAAGGATCTACAGCCATTTGAAATTATGTTTTTTGACTTTAGGCTGCCCCGCGAGTGGCCGTTACTCCTTTATTATAGATAATAAGTATTAAGTATAACCTATCGTTGGAATCGGCTCGTCTTTATGATTTTAAAAATGTAAACCATATACGAATTATTTAATTTAAAATAATTTGTCGTCATCGGCATTTCTAAATATTCGAAAATATATTTTCCTACAATATCGAAATTCGGATATTCTAAAATTCAAATTCTAATAAAAGAACCAACCCAACCGCTTATCTCAGTTTTACGACATACCCCGCTGTGAGCTTACTACCTGAAAATTTGCCGAAATAAAGTGACAGGTCTTGCTGTACAAGTTGCCTATTCCCGAAAAAATATTTTGCGAGTACTGAACTCTAGCCTTAAGAATGAAAGGTAGATATTTACATATTTAGAAAATAATTTGGAAAATTTTTAGTACATACACTTCTTGTATCGATTTGTAACTAAACGTAGATGTTAAATATCTATAATAAATAAAATTAATCGAATTAATGAATACTATAAAAACGACTATTTCATTTTCAGATAATTACTTCAATATAATATTGTTTGTAGAATTTGGAAACACCATTCATTACTAGCTATATACTTCAGTAGCAATGAATTTTCGAAATAAAATGAGTAAAATATTTCTTTTAATAAACAATGCGGTATTTGGAGAATTTTATACTTTTGAAGGTAATCTTATTTTATAATTTTTATTTCTAAATATTACTGCTTATTTTTACCACCAAACTTTAGGAGTTGGTTTACCTACCCTTGAAAATAAAAGATAAATTATTCTTAAAAAATAATTCTTAAAATCTATAATTCATAAAAATTAACAGCAGAATAATAAATAATATCTCATTGTTAAAAGAACCACTTTTGAAGTTTGGTCAATTCTTTATAACTCATCCTCACCTACTATATGTAGGTAACATTTATTGCAACATGTGGGTATTTAATAACTTCAAATATAAGGCATTTTTACAATAAACTCGTTTATCAGAAATCACTATCTGCATAACAAAATTTTCAATTATTATTTTATTCATTTACAGATGATCCATTTTATTGGTTGGCCGATTGGGGAACGATGTTATACCGAACCAAGTTCACTTACATAGTTTCAGGTTTCACGTTTTGGTTGTTAGTTTACTGCGATGCAGTAGTGATCCTGTTTATTTACTTTTCAAATGCGGAAATTGAAGCAATAAGAGGTATCCTACCTACAATATCGGTGATAGGCCATGTACGTGTAATTTGTATTCTAGGCCTCATTGTACGCAATGTAAATTGATGTTAATTTCTAGTCGCTGGTAGCTTATGGTAACATATTTAGAAATTTCGACCGTTTACAGATTCTTTTTTTGTACATTAAAAAAATTTCGGATAATTGGAAGAGACCAATGAAGAAAGTAATAGTGGACGAGATGAATTCGTTTGGGAAATTTTCTAAAAAAATCGGATTTGCCGTAATATTGACGAGCATATTTCTTTTTATTCTTTATGTAATGTTGGAGAAAGATTCTGGAAATATTGCATTTGTTGTGCTTTATACTTTGCCATATAGTGAATATTATTGGATTATTATCGTTGGACTTGCATTGCCAGCGATAAGTTTCTTTGTCTACATCCCATTTCTCTTAACAAGCTATTTTAGCTTTCATATCATTTTCAGGCTAAAAATGCTAAATGTATGCATATATGATTTAATGGAAATCGATAATGAATGCGAGTTTATGAAGAGTATAAAAGAATCAATAATGTATCGCGATAGAATTGCAGAAGATATTGCTTATATTTCGGAGCAATACCGTGAATTACAGGGGTAAAAAAAATTAAAAACTCTAAATTATAAGTATTATAAAAATTCCGAAACTTCAAATGTTCGCATAAAACTATTGCAATTTATTAATTTCAGAATAATAAATTATTACAATGATAATGCAAAGTGGCGCTTCCTCACCATATCTATTTCCGGAGCAGTAACAGTAGCCACAATTATATGCCTTGCTCTGGTAAATATATTTTTAACTTTATAATAACGGCTTAGGTAGATAACTAATTGTAAGTAACATTAATTTGATTAGGCAACAAGATCCCTTGAATCAATTTTTTGTCTATGTGCGCTCGTATGTGCATTTTTCTTGTTGTTCGTTTCAACGGAGTGTGGCCAACAGATACAAATTCAGGTAATTATGTTATTAAAAACTATAAAAAATAACGTTTTATAAGTTGGAGAAGCGGGTTTAATTTAATTTTTTTATGGAATTCACGATATTAATTATTGATTAGGATAGGAGAAAACTAATTTTAGCAACGCTTTATTTCTTTTAGTTTCAATAAATTCTGAATTATTTTAATCTGAAAATCTTTTAAAAAATGTATCTACCTATATTTTTGTTTCTATTTCAAGTGTGAAAAACTTCACGACAATTTGCAAAATTTAAAATGGTATCAATGGGACCAAGACAACTGCCAGTCTTTATTAATTTTATTGCTACAAACGAAAAATCCTTTTGAAATTAAATGCTATGGCTTTGCTATTCAAAACAGAAAATTATTTCTTAGTGTAAGTATAACAATAAAACTTTTTGATTTTTTAAGAGATTTCACAGTCCTTTTGAAATTTATTCATTGAAATTTATTTATTTTTCAGTTTTTCAAGATTATACATACTTACATAACTTATTATCAATCGATCTAAAAACATAATGATATTTTTGCTATTTATATTTTACATTTAAATTTAGTATGGAGGAAGCCTTAATTTTATTAAAAAGTGTCTTAAGAATGAAGAATATTTAAATATTTATACGAAAATAAAAGATATTATAGCAAATCAATAGTACCTACCTCTCAACTAGTTATGCATTTATTAGACTCCTATTGATTTTTAATAAAATGTGGATATTAAAATTGCA